TGCTGGCCAGTTTTAATATCAATTTACAACTTACCACCTTGGTTGTGTATGAAGAGAAAGTATATAACCTTAAGCATGTTGATATCAGGACCAAATCAGCCCGGAAACAACATTGATGTCTATCTTCAGATGGTAGTTAAAGACCTTCAAAGGTTGTGGATTGGTGTTCAAGTCTATGATGCGTACAGAAAAGAGTTCTTCACATTGCGGGCAGTTTTGTTGTGGACAATTAGTGATTATCCTGCATTGGGTAATTTGTCAGGCAATGTTGTAAAAGGCTATAATTCATGTGTTGTTTGTGGTGATAAAACAAATGCTATCAGGTTGCATAATTACCGTAAGATGGTGGTTATGAAGCATCGCAGGTGGTTGCCACGACAACATCCATATCGAAGGCAGAAAGCAGCCTTTGATAACACAGTGGAAAAGAATGCAGCTCCTATCTCATTGACTGGGGAAGAGGTATATTTACATGTGCAATCGTTAAGTGACCATGTCTACGGGAAGACACAACCACATCCTCGTCTAAAAAAAGGAGACATCCGACCTACTTGGAAGAAGATGTCTATTTTTTTTAAACTGGAATATTTGAAATTTCTGCCAGTAAGGCATGTTCTTGACGTAATGCATATTGAGAATAATATATGTGAGGCATTAATTGGAACGTTGCTTAATATACCAGGGAAGACAAAAGACAGGGAATCTGTGCGTATCGATATGGCTGAAATGGGTATTAGAACGGAGTTGATGCCCAAAAATCCCGGAAAAAATGAGAAGTTACCAATGGCATCTTGTAACTTATTGCACAAAGAAAAAAAGATAGTTTGCTCATCTTTGATTGGCATGAAGTTACTTGAAGGTTTTTGCTCTAACGTCAAGAGTCTAATATCGATGGAAAATCTTCGAGTTGTCGGGATGAAGTCTCATGATTGTCATACAATGTTGCATCACTTGCTCCCCATTGCAATACGATCGGTGTTACAAAAAGATGTGCGGTCCACTATTATTAGGTTTTGCCTCTTCTTCAAAGCAATTTGTAGTAAAGTCATTGAGGTCGATAAATTGGAAAAAATGCAATCCCAGTTGGTAGAGACTTTATGTTTGCTTGAAAAACATTTCCCTCCTTCTTTCTTTGATATAATGGTCCATATATCAATTCATCTTGTGAGAGAAGTCGAGCTTTGTGGGCCAGTTTGGCTACGTTGGGTGTATCCTTTCGAAAGAGAAATGAAGATATTCAAGGGATATGTACGCAATCGTGCTTATCCTGAAGGTTCAATTGCCGAAGCGTATATTGCAGAGGAGGCAATTGAGTGTTTAGTGAGTTCTGAAGATTGTACAGTAGGATTGCCAAAACGTTTCCAGGGTGCACAATCTAGACCCCTGTCTGGTGCGACGATGATCACACTGACCAATAATGACTTGCACCTAGCACATTTGTGTTTCCTCGAAAACTGTGATGATGTCCAACCATACTTTATATAAGTATTTTTTTTAAATTTTGACAGTTACTTCGCTTTCATTCTCCTTTATAATATTATTAAAGAATAAAATTGTTTCAGTGAACATATGGATGCTTTGGTGAAAACGTATCCACAACGTTCTAATGATGAGGAGTGGCTCAAGAACAAGCAAAACGAAACTTTCCCGGGCTGGTTTCGTAGAAAAGTAAGTACATTAATCTGTCATCATATAGTATTTGTGCAGATTCTAGAATAAAATAGCAAAATTTGAAGTTATTGTACTTGTGGTACTTCGTTTGGACAGATTTCAACAGACTTGCTTGTGGAGAATAATACGGTATCAACGGAACTAATGTGGATTGCAGAAGGGCCTAACAAGGATGTACCCACTTTCAGTGGGTATAAAATCAATGGTGTGACCTACAGCACCAAAGAACGTGATGATATGCGTCAAGTTCAGTGTAGTGGTGTTTGTGTAGAAGCTCAAACAATGCTCGTAGTTGGTAAGGATAAAAACATCCAGCATGGTACACACACATTTTACGGTGTTATCGTAGAAATTTGGGAGTTAGACTACAACCATTTTAGGGTTCCCATCTTTCGTTGTAAATGGGTAGATATGAATAGAGGGGTTAAGGTAGATGATTTGGGATACACTGTGGTTAATTTGAACAAATTAGGTTTTCAGAATGACCCATTTGTGTTGGGGAAACATGTCATGCAAGTGTGTTACATTGATGATCCTCTTGAGAAACTATGGTCAGTTGTCCTAAGATTACCTGAGAAAAACTATGTGGACATTGATGAACATAGTGAGGGGTCTGTTGAATTAGAACTCGAGGAGGAGTTGGATGTGAGATTGTTACCACCCAACCACGCAATAAATGAAGATAGCAGTAATTACATGCGAGAAGAAGATGAATGGATTGTGTTGGCATAAGTTTTGTTAAACGTTAAGTGGGCCAATTTTTGTTTTTTGCTCTGCCAGAGGGTGTATTTTAGGTGGATGTTGGGTGCAGTTTTTTGTCATGATCTGCACTTCATGTCTCTTGGGGAGTCCTAGTATAGCCCCGTGCGTATCGATATCGCTGGTACTGTGTCTTATGTCACTCTGTATTGCGTTTTGCTTTCTGTGTGGAATCATACCAGCTGTTTTGAAATGGTGAGGGCCTTGTGTTTCAAGCAATTGATTTATACTTCCAGGTAAAACCAACTTTTGTGTTTTCCTACATTTTTGGGTTTATGGCTGCCCTTTGGGTTTTATTCTTTGTTTTATTATATTAAATGTTGTACTGTCAAGGTTTAGTTTGTTGGTTTTCATGAAGTGCAGTTCATGTCGATCTGCTAGGGGTGCTTGTCCTCCTGTATATTGATGTTGCTGTGTCTTAAGTTGTGTCCTCCTGATGGATACGTTGGGCCATAGTTTTTTTTGCTTTTTGGGTATAACAATAATGCTGTTCACTTGGAGGCTTTTCCCAAGGTTTGTACTGTGAAGTTTTGTTGGTGTGTTTTTCCATTTTGGTTTCTACTCTAAGGTGTGTATGATTACTTTTAGAATGGATGATTGAAGGATGATCCTGCTTCAAGGATATTAACGTAATGCTTGAAGGATGAAGCTTGAGGGATATCCATGTTGGTGAGTCATTTCATAACTTCAAGGATATGTACTATTTCTTGGATGCTTGTTGGTCATTGCCTTAATTTCAACTTACCACTATTAAAAAGAAAC